GAGAGAGATTAGATAGATTACGTTTAGATAGGATAAGATAGATTAGATTATAATGAGCTGTATGCCCCCAAAAGTATCATGTTTGTCATAAACACACATCTGGTTAGCCTGCTAAAAAACAAAAATTTTAAATATTACATATAAGAACATGATCATTTGTGAAACTCCTAAAGGTGGTGAATACTGGACGTATGTGGTGGACGAGGAGCACAACGTGGTCGAGCAGGAGGACAAGGACGACACGGCCAAAGCCATACAAGTGAAATGGCCTAGAATACCCGACAATATAAACGGGGTGTTAAACATTAAAAACGCGGTGTATTTCTTCAAAGGACCACTTTTTTATCGACTTAATCGCGTTAACAACGAGTATAAGGTAATTGACAGGGGGTGGGAGGGGGCAGTGATTACTCGATTATGGTAAATTAAATGTTTTGTTTATTTTGTTTAGTGGGCTGAAAGTTCGCCGGCTTACCCGCGCAAAATTGCACTATGGTGGTTTGGGTGTCAGTGATTTATTTTATTACCATGCTATGTTATCTCATAAATTATATGCTAACCCCTAATCAATAGGATATGTTAATATTATATTTTATATTTATATTTAGTTAGGTTAATAATAATTACAGTTATCATCATCAATTTATTTATGAAAATTAATTATTTATTTTTAAAATAACGATAATTTTTACATTAAAAATAAATCTATTTTAAAATTCAAAAAATTTAGTTGTAATTAAAAAATAGATTCAAAAAACAGAAAAACAAACAAAAACTGATAAAAACACAGAAAAAAACATTAATAATGTGTTTGTTTTAAAAACAAGCAAAAAAACAATTATAATTTAAATTTAATAAATGACAAAAATTTAAATTAACACAAATATTTTATATTATGGTAAAAAGTGGGTAATAATAATAATAATAATAAGAGATAAGTAAAACACACGTGTATTTTGCATAACAAAATTTACAAAGAGTTTTCCATTGTGTTTGTTCATTAAGGCAATCAAGCAGTAGGCGTGAATGAGTGTCGGGTACACTACAACCTGTTATAAACGGTTATATACTGTACTCGTAATTAAAAATCAAAACAATATTAACTTATTATCAATTAACAAATAACTTCACATCAATTTCAAAGGCATTTGTATTCACAAAAATCACATCACGTTTGAGGCGAACCGTTGGTCAGCACCGGGTTGTCGGTCACCAACGGCTGGGGTTTGGCTGTGGGGTTAGTAGGGGTAAGGGTTGAGGCACTGGCGGTTGTCTTATCGGACTTTTTACCCCCACTATCACTACTACCGCCGGTCAACGACTTGAGGCCCAACCGTTTCAACGGCTTTAGCGACTTCAGCGTCAAGTGTTTGGCCATTGATTTGTCCGCCACTTTGTCGGCGGCCACGACTGGGTGGTGGCCATCGGCCGCTCCGGCAGTCGCTGTCCTGTCGTCAGTCTTATTGTCCTTCTGCTGACTCTTCTCCAACTTCTTGAGCCGTTTTCTCTCTTTAATGTCTTTGAGTCGGAGTTTCTCTTTCATCTTCAGCTCCTCTTTGAGCGCCTTTTTGGACACCGGTTGGCGACCATTGGTTCCGGCAGTCGTGTCGGCGGCAGCGGCTCCGCGCTCTGTATTCACCGTTTGTTTCGGCTTTGGCCTCAGTTCCGGCTTCGATGGCAACACTTTTGAGATTAGTTTCTGGTATTCTTCCACTTCTCTGAAAGACAACAAACAAAACAACACCATAAATATAGCAAACAATTGGTACAACAGGGCACAGGTATGGCCAGCGCACTGACACATCCCTGGCCATCGGGACATCAATACATACTTGTTCTCATCTCTGACCATCATTTCGACGATATCGTTGCGCTCCTCAATGATCTCCACTAACCTCTGGAGCAGCTCTTCTTCTTGTTTCAGGTCCTCTTCGGTCTTCTGAGCGGCTGTTTTGAGGGACAGAGAGAGAAAAACAATGCCATTAATTCACCATTAATTACAAACACACCCACACCTCCCGGTGCTGATCCCCCCAACCCACACACACCACACATACCTTGTTTACTGAGAACGCACCGCATCTGGTATTCAATGTCCGCCTGGAGTTCCTCCAATCGGTGCTCACGTTTCCTATCATAACATATAAAACAATACAATCACTAAAACACATCCCAAGACACGATCCATCCCTGCCCTCCCTTCCCGTGCGCTTACATATACATGAGCTCCTTCTGGCGTCGGG